CATAAACAGTCAAGAACACCTGCTAGTGGTGTGTTGGGAGTTGGCAGCCTGGGTTGAGAAATGCTAATATAAGACTGTACTTGTTTATCTGTGTCACTGCATGGCATGGAGCTGTAGCCCTGCTGGATCCCATAATCAAACATCCCCTGTCAGCGCTATAATCCCGTCACGCTTAGAGTAATCGCTATTGATATTATTTTGACCAGTTGGCTGAAGTATGGACTGGCCACTGCCCTGCTGATTTGGGGGAGGGGCGCAGTGTCTGATGTGCGATAAACGTTGGGGTTAATCTGGGGCCAGTCGGCTTAGGATGATAAGTGTACAAACAAAAGCATCTGAGAGGCACACTGCCCCTTTTCAAATGACGGTCCTTGCGCATTGTTCTGCGTGCCCCCCCCCCCCTCCACAGTGACACTGGTGTCCTGAAAGGGGCTCCGCTTCTGCTTAGATGGGCAGCCTTGTGTCCACAACACCACGTTTAGGCCTTTACAGCCATGTGCTCTCTTTTGCCCTCATAGCAGCAGACGACCAGGGCTGTGAGAAAGGTAGGTGAGCGATCGAAAATGCCTGTCGGATTGCAGACCCAAAGCCCCCCCCCCCCTCCTCACATACCACCCTTATGAAATTCAGTCTGCTGGGTGTTTTTACCCGGTGGTCCTGCAGGTCTGCTCTCTGAGCACGTTGACAGTTAACCCCGTGGCGTATTCAGCTGGCCATTTAGCTGCTCCGGCTAGCTTGCGTGTCGACGTGCGCATCCTCGGAGGATGCACAATGTTTCCACGCTTGGGGCGGGAGCTCGTGTGCGGCGCGGCGTAGCTTAAAATAACATGGGCGCCGTCGTTTCTCGACACCCTACATTGGTGATATTCTACTTCCCGTTTTCCCCACTGGGAAGACAACTAAAGTGTCATGTAATTTAAGCGTGAAGGGCCTGTCTCTGCCACGCCTGTTTCCCCTGGGGAGTGGGAGGGGAGGGGTCCTCCTGAGAATAATCCAACCAGCTGTTGGGCTACGTGAGCAGAATAGAGATTCTCGTGGTTGCTAAGCCTCCCCTCCCCTCCCCTCCTCTCATCTCTCCTCTCCTCCCAGCAGGATTTTCGTATCGTGTCTGAGGTTCCACTTCACCACAGCCAATCTCTGATGTCCAGTCCGCCTCTCTGTGGTCTTCTCTTATCATGTTTTTCCATCTCTCCTTCTCCATCTTCGTCGTCTCCGGTCTCCCACCTCAATCGATCCGTCAAGTTTTATACATCTCGCATCTTCACGAGGATGCTAATGCGGAATGATCGGTGGCTGGTTTTTCTGTAAGGAATCGAAATGTGTAAAGCTGCCTAAAATTTAAGCCCAAATCCTCTGAACGATGGCGACAGAGAATAAGACTTCCGATATCTGGAGAATCACAGACCGGGGAAGACCATGTGAAAGTCTGACTGTCGTGGTTTATCATCTCAAAATTTTTCCAAGTCCTACATATACAAAGGGGGGGTGCGGTGGACTCACCCCAGGGTTGTAGGTTCGTATCCTGCCTCCTTTTAGCGAGAGGCTACTTTTGTTTAACGTCTTTGAAGGTTACAATTTGTTTATCATGTCTGCCACAAAGGGTATAGCCCCCAGCATTTTTTCACGTCCCTGCTCCCCGCCTTACCACCCGCCTTGCTCTGTTGCCTGCAGCCTCCTCCCCCGTCTCCTACCTTCCTCTCACCCCCCCCCCCCCCCCCCCCCCCCCCGGGGGGGGGGGGGGGTCGGCGTGAGACTGCAGTGCAGCACTGGAAAGCCGTGTGAAGCGGCTCCCCGAGACGTGCTGCAGAAAGCCACCCCCCCACGGCACCACCCGGATGCGGGTCGGTCCCCTGCCTCTCTGGAGCATGGGGCTGGTTCATACGACGATTCTAACCCCGGTTATGTTCTGACCATATGCTGATTAGGCAGTTTGCACGTCTTCCCCATGTTTTCTCCGTTTTGTTTGCACAATTACTCTGTTTGATGTCTCTGAATCTCCTACAGAGTGTGATTGTGTCCTGTGATGGCTCTACAATCAGCTGCCAGGGACTGCCACCCCCCCCCCCAAAGAAAAAAAAATCCCATAGTAAATAGGCAGTTAGTTTCTTTGTTACTGATGCATGAATTGTGACTTCACCAATAAGGAAGATGGATAGATAGATAGATAGATAGATAGATAGATAGATAGATAGATAGAGTGAGTGAGTTCTGGTCCATAACTGGTTCTCAGGGTGCTGTGTGTGTGTGTGTGTGTGTGTGTGTGTGTATGTGTGTGCGCCTGTCTGCCTCGTTCAGGGCTACACGAAACGTTGGCCCTTCTGACCTCCCAGCTGCGTCCAGACGCCAACCACAAGGAGGACATGGTCTTCCTGAAGGACGTCTTCAGCGAGAAGAGCCTGGGATACCTGATGAAGGTACGTATGTGTCCGCAGTGTTTCCCCCGACACAGAAACACAAACAAAGCAGACAGACACAGCTGATTTACCCGTCAGCCATGCGACTTGGCGTGCGTGTGGGCGGAGGAAGCCTCCATGAAGACCTCACGCCTTCCCCACCTCCTGTCTCGGCACAGATCCACGAGAGGCTGCGTCTGTATGAGTGCCAGTGTCCCGCCCCCGTCCTGCACAGTGCCTCGTCTCTTGTGGAGGATGTGAGTAGGACCACATGGGCATGTATGGTTTATACCCTGACGGCTGCTCTGCCATCTTTCAGTTAGGGGCCTTGTTTGCGTGAAGCTGGTATTTGTTTTTCTTTATGCTGGTTGGCATTGCATCTCCTATCTATGCTGCTCCCTGGACGGAGAGATTGATGTCTGGTATTGGTGACTTGATTGGGGATTGATGGATGGATGGATGGATGGATGGATGGATAGATGGATGGGGGTGAATGGCTAGAATGAGAGACCGGTGAGTGGGTGAAAGGGACGATGGCTGAATGGATGGATTGATAGATTGATTGGTTGATGGATGTAAGGATTGGTGGACAGAAGAGGGATCGATTGACGATTGATAGGATTGATGGATAAGGGGGGGGGGGGTTGCTAGTTCAGTGGGGGATTGCTGCCTAGATGGAAGAAGGTATGATGGAATGGGGGATTGGTGGATGGATGGAGGATTTGATGACTGGATGGGGGGATTGATGGTTGAATGGAGGATCAATGTCTGGATGGATGGGGTATTGATGGCTGGATGGATGGATGGATTGATATCTGGATGGAGGGATCGATGGCTGGATGGATGTATTTTGGTCATCACAGCTTTTTCCTGGCACCGGCATTTAGAGCTGTGTGTTTACACCTTGTAACCTGAAGCCCTTCCACCGACAGATATTGATGCCGGGGGGGTGGTGGTGGTGGGATGGGGGGGTTCAGTGTGTAACAGTGAGTAGACATACAATCAATTGGCTCCCTTTGCTGTAAGAGTGACGCGAAAATGCAGATACCCAGCAGCACCCGGAGTGAACAGCGACCCCTGCAGGAAGGGAAGGGATTCAGTCCCTGGGGAATCTTGAGGGACGCATCTTCAGGGCTGCAGTTTCTCATTTTGTTGCATGTGGTTGCAGTGATATTGCTAAGAAAACTGCGCGTAGGGGGGTGTTAAAATGGAATCTCCCAGCACCCTCTCGCTCTGCATGTGTGCTGGTGCCCACTTTCTGCTACATTTGCAATTCTAGTCTCTCTCCCACCCCCGCCCAGTCTCATTCGGCTTCCCCACTGAAAAGGTGCACAGTGTTCCCTGGTGGGTAGATATTTGGGTGTGGGGGGGGGGGGGGGGGGGGGGAGGGGGGGGGGGGAGTTGGAGTGATGAAATTGCTCCTGCGATGTTGCTGCACGTCCTGCTGGGTGATGTTCACAGCTGCAGAACATCATCAGCCACATCCATCTGCCTCTGTTGGGTCTGATTTTGTCCTTACCGATTTCGAAACCAAACATACACCCTTAGGTGGGGGCCAGAGCGCAGGCTTTGGGTCTCCCTTCAGCGTTCGTTCCCCTTTGCTTGATGCCAAGATGGGCTGGGCTTTCTCGTGGCAAACGCTCAACAGCGCCCCCCGGAGGCCTGTATGTTATGTGGGATGCTCTGATTGACAGGTGGCGGAGGAGCTGCAGGGCAAATCGATGAGCAGCAACGAGAAGGAGCTTCTGCGTCTGCTGATGTCACCGCACTTCAAGGTACCTGCATGCCTTCACGTCTCTGGAGGTCATTGTTCTTTGCGTGAGGGTCCCTTAGCCATCAGCCCGAGACAGCCTGGGTGGCCATAATCATCATAGCTATCATGGAACTCTATCACAGATTCGCTGCACCTGTCCTTGCCGACCCCACCGACTGACCGTCCCTGTTGTTTCCCCCCTTGCCCCTCCCTCCCGGCCCACCAGGCGGTCCTCTTTGCGCATGACACCGTCGCACAGAAGAACTTCGACCCCGTGCTGCCGCCACTGCCTGACGACCTGGAGGACGAGCTGGAGGAGGCGACAGTGAAGATCGTGCGCCTGGTGAAGAACAAGGAGCCGCTGGTGAGAGGTCTCCACTAGGGGGCAGTGTGGAGAGGGTGCCTTTAATGGCCAGATCTCTTGCCGCGCGCTGAACTTACATAAGACGCTGGTAAAGTGTGACTTATATATTCAATTAAACATGTAGCTGTAATAGCTAATTAAGGAACGCACTGAGGCACCAAGGGGCTTAATTTAAATAAGACAACATGGCAAGGCCAAGGAGCAAGTGAGAAGGGCCTAATATATATCCGGCTGGCTGAGATGGACCTTCCTGTGCAGGGAGAGTGCAGTATAATCTCTATTGATCTCTGGGGTAATTACTCCTGTTCTTGGCAGGGGGCGACCATCCGGCGAGATGAGACCACAGGGGCTGTTGTCGTCGCTCGGATCATGAGGGGCGGGGCTGCTGACCGGAGTGGTGAGTAGTCCCAATCCCCCCCACCCCCACCCCCCACCAACCCAGCCTGGTCCATGACACTCTGAGATGTATGTTTCATGTTGGACAGAGAGGCTACATGAGATGTTCACACACAGATGGAGCACAAAGACAGCTTGGAAATGTGGGACAGGGGGGCACGTGAAAGAATAAGGGAAGCGGCCGGCGAATAGAGAAAGGTGGGGGCGTGGCTACGGTGAGGCGGGGCTGCTCCGTTTGTGGCTCCGTTGCTGCACAGAGCAGAAGAATTTAGGAACGGCTGCAGGGACCGTGAGCTGGGTGTTGCTGACGTCGTGCTTTCGGCTTGGCGCACTGCAGCCGGTGATCGTCCAATTTCACGCAGCCTGATGGATGGCTTTAATCGCAGGGCCCTCATCTCCTCAGCTCCTCCTGGAAACTGGTTAGATGTAGCTGCAGGCTGAGGAGGTGCTGAAAGCTCGTGAGGCTGCCCTGGGTTTGGGAAACACCTCTGAGATGTACCTTAGAGGGTCCTGGTCTAGCAGCCCTGTGGCCATACTTACACCCGCTTCTGCTCTGCTCAGGTCTTGTGCATGTTGGTGACGAGCTCCGGGAAGTCAACGGCATCTGCATCGCGCACAAAAGGCCCGATGAGATCAGCCATCTGCTGGTATGGAGCTGAGAGTCCTCGCTTTGTTATAAATATCATGTTTATTATCTTTTAATTGCTCTGTCTTATGGGAAGCACAACCACACAATTCTGTCCTACCCCGTATGGTTGAATTATTAATTTTATATAGGATCCTTAAAGTATGCAATTTCTTTTTTTTTTTAAACAACCACGCAGTTTCCTTTTAGAATCACAAAAGGTGCTGAGGATTGTGGGAGTTCCAGGGTATGGAGGCAACGAACCGTGACTGGGTCCTTGTGTGAATAGCTCGTTTGCTCCTCTCTGTGTTCTAGTCCCAGTCTCAGGGTTCCATCACTCTCAAAATAATCCCAGCCGTGAAAGAGGAGGACCGGTTGAAAGAAAGCAAGGTGAGAGAACCACACGCCGAAAAATGGGGATGGGATGCGTGCCCACTTGAGTTTGAGTTGACTGTTCCCTTGGCATTCTGGGATGCCCCCCCCCCTCCAGGTGTACATGAAGGCTCTGTTTGACTATAACCCCTCGGAGGACAAGGCCACACCCTGCCAGGAGGCCGGCCTGCCTTTCAAGCGCGGGGACATCCTGCAGGTGGTGAGCCATGATGACCCCACCTGGTGGCAGGCCAAGAGGGTGGGGGACAGCAACCTCCGGGCAGGCCTCATCCCCTCCAAGAGCTTCCAGGAGAGGTAGGCCTGCCCCACCCACTGATTAGCCAATCAGACCTGTTTGACGGCATCCGCTTTCAAATGAGCGAATCAAGAGCTGAACTCTCCATGGAAATGAAAGATCCATTACTTTTGCTAATTAGCATGTGACGGTTTGGCGTTCTTCACATAACAATGTCTACCCCTACGTAACTCTTACTGTGCCTGCAACACAAGGTGGTCTCGCCAGGTTCTCAGCCCAGGACCCCATCCACATTCTCATCCATCAGAAAATGACCTATTCTAGGTGGCCTGAGGGACACGCATGAATCACGATGTCTCTAACCCTACCCCCTGCTACAGAAGTCGCCCCCTTGGTGCCCGTTGTCTGAAGCGTTGTCATGGCGCTCTCTGATGTTATCTGTCCCCCGCGGTCAACCTTGCTTGAGTCAGACGTAATTACAGCGCACAGTTCATTGTTGGAAAACAGTCTTTTTCTGTAACCTCTTCCCTGCTAATATTCTGTGGTGTGTCTCTCATGTACCCCCGACCAACCCCCCCCGCCCCCCACCCCACTCCTCTCTCTTCTCAGACGGCTGGCATACAGGGTTAAAATGGGCACCATGCCCCATCTGAGGTCCCCTGGACGACCACTCTGTAAGTTACACACCGGTGCTTTCAGAAGCTGTTTGGAAATGTAACTTACCTTACGGTACCCCTGCCTCATTATCTGAACGATACATAAACGATATAAGGTAGTGTTTCTAAACCCCA